CCCATGTATCGAGGGAACACATTCCACAGTTTCCCTCAAACAGTTCTCCACAAAGTCATCTTTCTCCTTAGGCAGATAAAGCCAATGTACTTTGCTGTAATTAAATAATGCAGTTCAAGCAGCATACACTGCCGTACGACATGCATTATGTCCGTTAAGTATATGCCTCATTGCACAATGACCTTGTGAAAATAGATGTATTGTGTTTACAGTCCGTAGCTGAAAATATTAATGTGGGCAAGATATTATGCTCTGTTCTGGAGTTTTAAACATCTGCGAAAATGGCCACTTTGCACCTAATGTTTTTTATACTCATTGAGCCCCCTTAAAAATTTCTTGTCAACAGTTGTTTTCCCTTATAAGTACTAAAAATGGAGGTGTTATGGAGCCTTGTTACATCAAGCTAACTTTGATCAAGTTTCTGACGGAATCTGGGCCGTATATATATCACACGTTAAAAAATTGCGATGCTGTTACCCAGTTTAAGCACAGCAAAATATACCTAAGATGAATTGTTCCTGTTTCTTAATCTAACTATTTGACGACTGGTCTTTCGCATCGTTAAAAACAGTAAAGTTTACCGACATGTTTCCAAAGTGTACACTTTACGTATTTAGAACGCATATAATAAACGATTTCAGTAAAAATATTAAGGACGTATCATTTTCTCAATAATATTCCGCAGAGTATCTTGTCATTTTACCTTTATCCGCAGTATCATAAGTGTTTATATTGTAGTTTTCACAGAAATACTGAAATTAATTTCGTCAAAGCCAATAACCTGAGAGGATAAGACCGTTGAGCACTGGTCGTTCGACTCGCATTCAATAATAGGTGAACGAGTATGGGAGGTTTCATCGTTTGTAACCTGAATGCAAGTCAGGTTTGCCTCATGCCTCAGAAAGTTCTCCACGAAAGCATTCATTCTTTTAGGCAGATATCGGGAGCATAGTTTGCCATAATTGAAGAACTCCAACTAAATGTCGTTATAAAAAAAATCCAAATCCAGTCATTTAGTTAACAGGGACGGTTGTTTAAGACCAAGGGAAAAAAGAGGATATTCAAATACGCTCATATTTCAGCTCGACTTCCTTTTAATTCGGTAGATTATTCCTTTCAATTTACTTTTATTTCATGATAATTTATGAATCTATATGCTATGTCAAGTGAAATTTATAAATTTCACAGGTCAGATATGCAAGCCTTTTTCTCAGCTTTCTCTTCTGTTAAAAGGCCTTTTCTTAGTTGCTTACAGTACCAAAGTTCTTTTTTGGTTAGAAAAACTTGTTTTCGAAAACAATAACTGCGTTTTCTATTTTATGAAAAAATGAAATTCTAATTCTATAAAATGGATATTTTTCTATGAAAAAAATTTTTGGATCTTTATACTTGTGATCAGTTTTATGGATAGTGATCAAGTTCATTAGAAATGTATTATTTTATCAAAAAGAGCTTAGAAGTTCTGACACATAGCTATATTTTCCATTAAAACCATTTCCTAAACTTGCTAGAATATAAAATTTTAAAAACGGTGACAAAGTCAACATATCTTTTGTCATTGCTTGGTAAATGAATTACTTGAGATATTTCTAAAAATAGTAACAATTATATCAAGATGTCATGTATGGCTAATGAATGTTATTAATAAATAAATAGTTCTTGAGCATGTTTAGCAATTTTAACACATTTTAAAATATGCATGTCGTTTCTACAGTAAAGGTGAAGAATTGTTAAAGGATATTTTAGAAATAAAGAGTTTAGAAAGAAAGCAGAAGATTTTGCAATTGTTTTTGAAATTTTAATTGAAGTTGATTTAAACGACTGCAGTATTGCTCTAAAATAACTAACAAACGTTTCTCAGTTCCAGCATTAAATCGTAATTTATAATACGTAAAATAAGAACAAAAAAACAGGTGCTTTTTAATTAACTTGTAATAACAAAAATTCGCAGACAGTTTTAAACGGCTGCGTTTTGCAATTATAATTTGCTTTCACTTCATGTAATCATGCAAATTTCTTGTCAACAGTTGTCATGTCTTGTCATTCATTCATTATTTAGAGATAAAAGTTTTAAACCTATCAGATTATATAAAGCTATTTATTGTTTTACGAGAAGACAACTAAATTTAATTATCTGTATTTTTAATAAACATACAAAAATCGGAAAAATAAGTCCCTTGTCATTGAGAGCCCATCAGAAACCAAGCGCTGAACACTGGCCGCGTTTCAAATCCTGGCAAACGGGCTGGCCTGTATGGACATTTTCGTGGTTCTCCCCATGTTTTACGTATATACAAGCCCTTTTGGCAGATACCCTCGAGTGCTTTTCCATAATTGACTAAACCAAACTGTTGTCGCTCAGATAAAAGGAAAGCAAAAACTATATGAAAAATATACGAAAGCTCTGGGCTATTTTGGAAATTTAGTTCTTGCATGATTAGCAACTAGAGTTACTCACCATTTAGCAATTTTGAGCTAAGCGAATGAAGTTAATTGAAAAGAGCGACTAATAGTTACTGTAAATTCTAATGTGATTTTTAGACTAATATTTTAAAAGATGCCTGCCTTGTTAAGGGATTCAGTTTCTACAATTATATTCTATGTATTTCACCACACATTTTCATTAGTTTCACTAATAAAAATGTACAGTTAGTGAATAAAGTCTGCGTACATCAAGAAAAGTAATATAAAATCCAAATTTTAAGGTGCGAAAAGGGTAGTTTCTTAAAGTTTTATTTTTTAAATATTTAGTTTCAATAAGGGACTTTGAAATTATTTAACTGTAATATTTTCATATTTAATAATTTATGCACACTAATTTTTAAAAGATAAGTGGTCAGAAATCAAAGCCAACGCGAAGGAGGCGGGGGATTTCTTATCTAACTTTCAAATTTCAAACTTCAGAATGCAAAGAAGGTTACACTTTCAAGGTCATTGACTTCCGAAGCAAATTTCACGTTGATTGGAAGTTGCTATTTCTATTTTCTTTGACGAAAATGACAACCAATAAAGAAATTCCTTTAGTTACGAGACAACTCATTATCAAATTGAGAGATGGAGGTAAGACTCTTCGCTATATTGGTAAAACCATTTTCTAGTGTGCAAAGAGTAATTCAAAACTATCTTGACACTGGTAGTCTTGCTGTAAAACCAAGATGTGGGAGACCGAAGAAGCTAAAGCAGAGAGAAGGAAGAATTCTTTTACGAATTAAACAAAATCCTAAACTTTCTTCTGCAAGCATTGCAAAAGACATTTTTTTTAGCTAGCAACAAGGAAATTTCTTCTGAAACTGTACGAAAAGTGCTGCGAAAAGTTCGATTATCATGGACGCAAACCTAGGTCTAAGCCATACGTTTCCGAGACAAATAGAAAGAAAAGAATTGCTTTTGCCAAAACATATTTAAACTCTTCGCAGGACTTCTGGAACAATGTAATTTGGTCAGATGAAAGTAAATTTACAATATTTAAAGTTAATGGCCACCCTTTTATATGGAGAAAACCAGGAACAGAACTGAATCTGAGAAATTTAAATCCAACTGTCAAACATGGAGTTGGCGGTGTGATGGTATGGGGGTGTATGTCGTCGAAAGGAGTTGGAAATTTTCACATTATTGATAAAGTCATGGATAAGTAGGTTCATCTGGATATTCTGAAGAAAAATCTATGAGACAGTGCCCGAAATTTAAACCTTTCTAATACCTTTATTTTCCAACAAGACAACGACCCGAAACATACAGCTAAAATTGTGAAGGAATATCTCCTCTATCACACTCCAAGACAGTTGTGTACTCCTCCACAATCACCAGACCTCAATCCAATCGAACATTTGTGGGCAAAATTGGAGAAACGAATTCGAAAACACATTACGTCGCGAAATAAGCTAATTAGTAAATTGCAGGAAGAATGGGCGAAATTTACGTCGGATGACACTGAAAAACTAGTTCAGTCAATGCCCAGACGTCTGCAAGCTGTTTTGAAGAATAAAGGATATCCTACAAAATAGTGAAGTAATGTAAAAAACTTATTTTGCTTTATTTTTGAAAGTGTACGCAGATTTAGTGGAGAGAATTTCTGAGTTTTTTTGACAAAATTTATTTTTGAAAAATGTAGATACTATTACACTGATATTATTTACATTTTATTTAAGCTTACAATTTTAGCTAATAGAAGAAAAAAATGCAATGATTAAAATACATTTTTCTATGCTTTAAGTGTTTTTTTAATTTAAAATTTAGTCTGTACGCAGACTTTTGTGACTAACTGTATATTGTTTTGTATTTTATTTTATAGTTTTGCTTTGAATTTTTGTTCTTATTTCTTTGGCCTTGTTAATCTACACAATTTTTTACATAGCTACACCTTTTTGATATATAATTTTTGCAATGTTCCGGTTCTTACTTTTGAGTATTTAATATATATACGAGACGTATATACAGACTTTCTGTTGAAACTTGGATAATTATTTCTTTGTTTAGTTGCCTTTCATGAGGCATATGTTTGTAACATAACAATGTGATGTCAGAGGCTAACTGAAATTTAAATATCAGGAAAATTTAACCTTAAGAGGTATCAACAAAACTTAAATGAAAATCTCGATATCAGAAAACATTACGAAATGCATCGCTATAAACACCAAGAATTCATAGTGCCATAAATGTGGAATAGTCATAAGAGGGTGAAAATAGCATTCTCACGATAAAACTCAATAAAATGAAGGGAATTCAGATGTAAAATGTAGGTTGTAACAATAAATCACCTTGTAATTAATATAATGGGTAAATAATGAATGAAGTGATACTTTCTTGTAAAGTTTACGAATCTCTTCTTGAAAGTAAGATAACAAAAGTTCTTGGTAAAGAAAGATGACATTTCTTGTTAAATGCTAGCCAAGCTTCACCTTTGTTTTCTCTGTTCAGAGATTAAAGTTGGTGTGCGAATAAAAATATGTATACCAGTTCCATTATTCTGTTAACAATGGAAAACATTTAGGAACGATGGGAAAGAATATTCAAGCATTTTATTAACAATAATAACAGTTCCGTTATCCTTATTAACAATGGAAATCTGAAGTATCAAAAGAGTATAGGAACATTCAGATTGTCAGCAACTCTTACCGATCGGTTAACAATATGCCTGTACAACAAGCGAATTCTGTACAAAAAACTATGCAGATGCGCATGTGTATTTTGACACTGCTTTTGTGCCCTCACTGATGGCATGTTTGGCAAGTTCTCCTGGTAGCAGAAGTCTTACGGCCGTTTGAATCTCTCGACTGCTGATCGTGCTCCGCTTGTTATAGTTCGTCAAGCGACTTGCTTCGGCAGCCAGACGTTCAAATATATCATTTACGAAGTTATTCATTATAATCATAGCCTTGCTTGAAATACCAATATCCGGATGAACTTGCTTCAAAACTTTGTAAATATAGGTACTGAAAGAAAGAAAAAACGTGCAATGAAATAACTTTAGTAAATTCAACTAAATTTTAAAATTAAGCTTAGAATATAGTTTATGTACAAATAATTCCTTTTAACCGCTCATGTGAGCTTTGATCTACAAAGGGTTAAGCATTGTAAGTTATTTTTCAAAGGCTCTAAAAGTAGGAAAAATATTTGTTGCAAATATGCATAAACTGAATCCTATTTTAACTAATTAGTACTTAATGCAGGTTTTATCTGCTCTGAAACACACACTAAAGAGCAACATTTAAGGATAATCGATGAGGGTCCACCAGTGGCTGAGCGTATAAGATGGCTGAATACCTATAGTTTGGGCAGAGCTGAAATTTCTTCGAAAGGGCACGTTACATGAGCATGCTTTTGCATAATGAGAGTTCTGAAGAGAACGTTTCTAAGCAAACTGCTTCACATTGCTGTGATGTAAGAGTTGATACTTGAGTCAGTTTCTTTTAGAAAGCCGCTCTAGGAAGTTATTAATCCCTTTAGGCAGTTAGCTGTAGTATTCTATGCCGTAATTTAATGAATTCAATCCAAATCTTGAAAGGAAATGTACGTAGCATCTACGAAATACAGAAGTTTGTATAGCATCGAATCGAATGTTACACGAACAACGATTATTTAGTGGATAGTGGAGGTAAACACACCGAGAGCTATTTGCCAGAGAGGAATATATTCGTACAAGGCTTTCTAATGTAATTTCATATTCATGCAACACATGACAAAATTACATTTAGAACTAAATAACTGAATGGTATTAGTAAAAGAAACCTACGTGTTCGCTATTTAGCTGCCTGTAATTTACTGTACCACAAGATTAGCAATATATTCTACGAAAAATTAAGAATCACGTTTACTGTTGTAAATTAAATTCGAAAAATAAAACTTTAATTAGAAACATTTGTCAAATGCCAGTTACATTGGCCGTTAGGCCATTAAACTCCTTGCTTGCCAATAGCGCTGAAATCTACAAGAAAAATCTGTCAGTGCTTTATACTCGTCCAAATGTTCCGCCGCCCACTATCACATAAAACACACAACGGCGAATCAGCTAGTCCAATGCGAAATAAACGATTCTGTAGACAGTCATGTCCCGTCAATAGTCTAAAAGATGCAAGCGCAACTGTTCGCGGGTGGTCAGGAACAAAAGCTGGGTTTGATGAAAAACACTCCAAGGCTTGCCCTCACTAGCCCGAGTGGCAAAATCTCTAAAAGAAATTAGAAATATAGATAAATCATAATTTCGTTCCGAATAAATAACTTCAGACCCTATTTGATTAAATTCCATACTCAGCACTTGCTGGTTTTCAAGCCCCCAACCAGTGGCCGAGTGAGTATGAACGCTGAGAATTAAACCGAGGGTTCAAACCCAGGTGAATGTAATATTCTAATCATTTCTGCATATTCTGCGCTGTATTTTCTCATCGGTAACGTGAATAAGTATTGGGTTTCTTTGTAAAGTCTTCTGTGAAAATATCATGTCCCCTAGGCATCCCGTCATTGCGTGGTTTGCCGCATTGGAATAATCTAACGTAACCTTTTTTTGTGCCTCACACAAATCAAAAGCGTTCACTTTTCTATTTAAGACAAAGTTTCCAGTTTTGTATATCGACATTTCTGACAAAATACTCTGAATATTTGAAAGAATTAAAATGAATTTTTTTCAGGTGAGAGCGAGCCATTGGGGGGGGGCTAAATTTTTAAAAGCTTTAGCTTTGTGCTTAAGCAGTTTATCTTACAGAAACCAAATCACCACGTGTTTCTCGGCCATCCGTGCATAGTATAACTAAAGATCGAATGAAGGCAAAGTGAATAAAGTCACAAACACCAGGAGATAGACATGAATAGGTTATCTGGATGGGCGTTTTCTCGTGTAAAACGTGAATAGAAACATTTTTCTTTGAAAGCTCCCAAGGAAACACTTATTCCCTTAGCTAGTCCTCTCGTATTAAATGGCTTAAATAAGAAACATGGTTTAAATTACGCTCACTATATACTGATTCATAGGTTCCTCATCTCTAAAGTTCGATATATATAATGTTTGCCTTTATTATGAAAAAAATTATTAATCGATACAAAAGTTCTACTATAAAGTTGCCGTTATGACAGTTTCTCAATAAATTTGATCAAAAAAACGCTTACGGATAATTTTCATGTACCATGCTTAATGAGTATTCAGTAAAATAAACAAAAAGCTACATTAAAAAGCAAATAAAAATTAAAATTTTATTATAATTATGTTTTGTAGACGTATCTCATTTGATTTAAATAGACAAGAGTCTTGCATTTAGGCACACTTCACATTAAGAAGACACTTTAATGTGATCTCCCAAAAAGGTACTGAGTTTTGGTGGGTTTTTAATTATGGCAAAACATTTGAAGTCTATCTACGAGTATCTAACGGAAAGGAGGGGCCGAGTGGTAAACTCTGATTATTATTAGTTCAGTCCGGGGTTCGAATCCTGGCAAACGTGATGGTTGCATGCGCGTTTTCGTGATTACCCCCCCCCATGTGTAACGTGTATACGAGACAGTGTTTTAGCAAGATCCTCCACGAAGGCCTACCTGTCATTAGGCAGATAGCCCTCGAGAGCTTTGCTTTAATCTAACAAAAAAGGTAAAGGGAGTATTACGCATTGTTAGAAAGAGTCTCATTTTCTTTGCTTTTAAGAAATTAGCACTTTTAATTAAAACCTAGCTAATTATTTCACTTGCTTCAGCTAAAAGATCAAGATTGTAAAAGGATTATTAGACTCATGTGGGTACAAACTAAATTGATATTTTTGTGAGGCTGTGTCTGGTAATCAGTGCAGAAATTTATAACTATTTAAGCAAATATATTTTGAATAAAAATCCAAGGATCTCCATGTTACTGTATAAAATAATTTGCATTTGAAGAACCATTAAACTTTTAAGGACATGACTCTTAGAAATGAACGACTCGATGAAACTCGTAGATATAACATTAAAGGAAAGCAGACAGTAATTCTTCGTTTATAAAAACGATCGATTTTGGAAATTACTTATGGCAACATTTAAAAAGGCCTTTGCATGTTATGTCTTAGTTCGTAAGTTCTAATCTTGTCGGGCAAGATTTGAGAATCAAAATACCGCAGAATATTTAAATGTAAAATAAAATCAAATTGACTTAATTATCGAATGAGAAGAAGAAACTGATTATAAAATAAGGAAATGAAGGAGAAACGAAACCAAAACAAAATACCTTGAACAATTAAATATTTAGTTTCGCAAATGTGCTTCTAGGTGAAAGTAGACCGCTACATATTTCTGCAATTTCTTTTTTTTATGAAACTCATAAAAACCAGGGCTCACCAGCGGCCGAGCGCTAAAGACACTGAACACTAGAAATTCGGTTCAGGATTCGAACGCCGATAAAGGGACTCGCCTGTAGGAGCGTTTTCGTGGTTCCCCCCCTCATGTGTAACGTGTATATGACCAAGTTTCCGTTAGCAATTCCTCCTCGAAAGCTTTGTTGTAATCAAATAAACTATAAAAACCAGCACTTTTAGAGATACGGATTATGAAATTACACATATGGACCTTAATGAGTTAGTTAGCAAAATTAGGTCTCCCAGAACACATAACGAGTCGTGAACGGTCAAGAAAGTATGGAGATTATCGTCTCTTGTACTACATGTATGCCACTGAGATGGAAAGCGACGAGAGACTAACGTCAGGCCGCAAAAGAAAACAAGCAAACATCGGGAATCAAAACTAGGTTACAAAGTTGAGGTCTCTAAGCTTGCGAGTTGGAAGTGGTCTGATCAACTTATCTGCGCACTTTCAGAGAATGTTCGCAAACATTCTTATGCTGAAGGCAGAAGAAGTAGACAGTTCTGCAGGAAAAATTCTCAGTAAAGCTAGCATAAATGAAAGTACAGTTTCGATTTCACTTTCTCGGTTAAAATATACACTACACTATTATTAAACTTGCGAAAATGAAAGTGTTTTTCCTAATCGATGCAAGGAGAAAGAACATCATTATAAAACCTGAAATTATTCATTTGCAAACAAAGAGTACATTCCGATGATCAGAACCCTCGTATCCAACATTCGGCAGAGTTGCCGTGTTTTTGGTGTATTTTCAAGTACACATGCAAGAATAGCCAACCCAAGCAAGCGCATATTATGTACGTGTTTGTACCGAACATACATATTTTAGGCTTGAAATATAACCGTCGCTTCTGTGAATATTTTGCACCAAGTTTAAAAGTGTAATTATCTACCATAAAAATTTCTTAATCCTAATAAAACGATTTTTTTAATTATTTATGAACAGAATCGTACAGTTGGGGAAAATGTTTGCCCAAGTCAATGAAAATGCGAATAATCAGAATATACTAAAGAAAAGAAATTACTAAGACCATTTAACTAGATTTTTGATTAGGAGGTATATTATCGATGTATAATAGTTAAAACAATTATTTTAGCGCACAAAAAAGACTTTCAAAAAATTCGCAGAGAGGTGGTGGGGTAAGTAGCAGAAATTCGAGAAACCAAGCGTGGGCTGGAATTTATACTTAAACATTTCGATGTCGAAAATTCGCACACACGACTCGGGAAAGCGGATGTTTATTTGAAACAAATCTAACACTAGATAACCATCAAGTACTTAAAACGTTGTATAATGCATATTTTAACTGAAATTTGCTTTTATAAACCAATCAGTCATTCTATAAATACTCATCACCATTTAGTTAGAACAACATTACTATTTAATATTTATCTTAATATAAAATCTAAAAGCTTTCAGATTTTTTTTTTTAAATCCTTAACTTCAGATTATTTATTATTTCTCAGAAGGTGACGCTGTACAAATTAGATTAGGATGTTTTCATAACGGCTTATTAAAAGAAAATATTTTCAGCAAATTATTTATTCTCACCAAATAATAAGCTAAGTAAATTTTATTAAAGGGACGCATTTGTGAATATTTAACATCAAATGCAGAAAAAAGTAATAGATTTCTGTACTCATGCTGAATGTTTATGAATAAATAAAATTCCTTTCTATCTAACGGAGTAACTTTTTTATTTAAACATGATTGAAGCTCGGTTTTAATTTGCTCCATTAGTAATATTATAAAGTAAAGCTGAAGAAAACTTAAAATTTTAAATAAAAATTTAAGATTCCTGTCACCTTACCTGTAAGATTCTTTTCTTTTGTTCCTCCTAATTTTCTTGGTTTGGGTGACAGTATGATCATACTTCTTCGAAATCCTAGGTTTCTTTTCGCTTTTGGTACTTGAAACGGCAGACATTTTCACATAACTTGGAAAGAACACCGCAAAACTCTTTAAATGTAATTCATCATGCTGGAAGCACTAAAATTTAGCCAATGAACACTCGTAACGTTAAACTGAATACAATTTGAATAAAAAGGCTTGAAATACTGAGCAAAGCGTAATGTAAATGCAACTTGGGCGTATTTTAATAGTTTAATATTATTCACAAGACGGGAAAAGAACATTTCATTGGCTTAGGTCTACAAACGTCACATTACGTTGAATATTTCCTGCTTCTTTCTCTGATGCCTTTGAAAGATTTCTCGAACCACCAGTGTCAGACCATTTGCCCCCCCCCTCCTCTATGGCGGGCCCAAACCGTCCACAGACTTTGGCCACTACAAAGGTGGTAGCCAGAAGGTTGGCCACTTTATTATGGAGGCACCCAATAGGTGGGCCACCTTTGCCTCATATGGGGGGACGGACAAATACAACTATGCCTTCTCCAAGATTCTAAATCGGGCCCTTTGGTACCACATCGACTCCCCTAACCACTATACCGTCTAGGCGGCCGATAAAAGAGTTTGTTTCTCAGCCTGCGCTTGTTATTGTCTTGTTCACAGTACATGGAATAATGTCTGCCAGAGAATACTCCGAAAAGAGGTTGGGCTTCTATTTTTCAGCCCCCAATTTTGAGGTAGAGCACTCTTGGGGGATTCGGGGGTCTCTCATCCCTCTCCTACCAATCCATACGAGAGAACTTTCGGCTCGCCGCATATTTAGAGCGGTGCTATGTCAATGTATAGTGCCGCACCGACACTATACATTTACAAACCTCCATATCTTCTCCGGGATTCGAACCGGGCCTTTCGGTACCGTAGTAGGCTCCCCTATCCACCATACTGTCTGGGAGACAGCCTGGTTTTTCATGTGTTAGTATAAAAGAACTGCAGCTGTGAATGGTTAGCAAAGGTTGACTGCTTGTCCGAAATCAAGAGATGGGTCTCGAATGTCTTTGTTGTTTTCGTATGTCTGTTCCCTTTCTTATGGGCTTAGTGAGCTGTGCAATGTTCTCCATGATTAAATACTAAATGACTGATGGATTCGCTCATTCTAACCAAATGTTTGAGAAGCAAATGTCCGCCATTTGAAAGGAAAGCATGAAAAATTACAGTCATTGCACAAACGTTTTACGATTATTAATATTTTCAAATTTCCGTTTTTAATATTTTCGAATCTAATATCTTATCTTTCGAATTTAATATCTGTCATTTAAAAACTGGAAATGAAAAATTTTTAACATGAAAACTTTTTATTAACATATATCTCCGTGTATCTATCTATTTTAGAGAATGAAATGAATGAAACTGAATATATTTAGGAAATAAGTACTCGCAAATAAAATCTGTTAGTGAGGGATTTTTACATTTTACTTCTGAATTTATTCAAATACAAATTTCCTGAATACTGTTTAATACATGCATGCAGCAAAATCGTAAAAGAATCTGAATTTTTCAGAATTTGCAGATGTTTTCGTGTTGAAAGTAAAACTGAATGATTAAACTTCTATTATACTATTCACCGTTTAGTTTGTTGTATTTTTTCAGACAAACTTAAAGAAACTAAAAACTAATTAAGGAAGAGCACAAAATAGATGCTTTTGCTATCGTAAACCTTATGTAAAATAAGAAACCTTTTAAGAAGCATGGTTGAAATAATAGCCGGTACGTTTTTCTGACTTTGAGGGCCAATGGTGACAGTTCGTAGGGGTAACATCTAAAGACACTTTCACCATAGCCTTACTCGTAGTAGCTAAAGGGACTATTTAAGATTCATACGGAGTAGTATCGCATGCTTATTCACAAAGCCTAGAGATCGTTTCTGCTGCTGTTTGCGCCGATTGGTTAAAACGGGAAACGTAGGGTTACAGAATCTAGTGCTTGGCGACTTTTGGTTCATCGTCTTCACAATTTGTATATGAGCGTCGTGTACGAAAAGGTGTGCATAACCTACCGGAGAAACGGCAGCTCAGCGATAACGAGGGCGAGAAAATTTCTCAGACTTCTAGGTCGCCGGTTCTATCCCTGCTCGTAGCTTTGATTAACTCTGTTCTGCACGGATTTATTTTTATTTTAACTTCATTGAATGACTTTGTCATTATTTGTCTTTTCGCCTTCGGGTGCGGTGTTAAAAATTAAACGCCTTTATTTTTTCTATTTTTGTTAATGTTAATTTTACTTATTTTTATTTACTGTTTTGTACTCTTCGTAGCAGATACCAGTAGCAAGATTACGATCCAAAATCCCGAAAAGCGTTTCAATAGAAATAGCGCATGATGGAATAAAATACAATTTTAGTTATACTTACTCATAATTTATATAAAAAGAATAGGTATCCTACGCCCTTAAATGTTTACTGAATGTTTTCATTTGGTTAATTTTTTAATATTCCTTTATTTGTATAAATTAATGCCCTATGGAAATTTACACAACAGACTCTTTCTAGCAGAAATGACGAAAAAGTGCATATGCTACCTCCATGTACACAACTTTTTCTTCTAAAACAGTTACGTACTTTTAAAAGTTTAAATTCAAATACAAATAAACTATTAATAAGATCAGTAGGTTACTTAAAATATATTCCACACAATTGCTCTAAGCTTTCATTCATAAACTAAAAAAAATATCGAATGAAATAAATGCTGTTAAGGCGATAACTCGCCATTCCAAATATGACCGCCAAGCAGATGTTTCCTCCAATGAGAGCAGCCCGTAGAGAAATGGTCTGTAGGCTTTGTGAATATGCGTATGGCATTTACTTGTCGTTGATAATAACAACCATTAAATGGCCTACGCAGAACACCGTTGCTAGGAAAGCAGATCTCGTTTCATCATCGAATGTCTGCATAGTCATGTTATTATAGAGGACGAGTCAGAAAGCAATTGCAAATTCATGTAACACTTTTTCTTTAGAGTAAGTATGAATTACTGAACATTTTAATTTCCTACGTGATTTTCCCCTCTTCTGAAAGGTCCACTAGTTTCTTTATTCGGTTTCCAAAGCCAGTTTCTCAGAGACATGTTGTTTTTGTTGTGACTTATCTCACTTGTCTGACAGTGACATCAGAATAAGCAAACGAAATTCAGCGTGGCAAGAAGTGGCATATGGTGCTCAAGACAAAAGACAGATTGCGCCTGTCTTTAACGCAATCTGTCTTTGGTCTTGAGCACCATATAAGTGACAGTACATCCCCTCTCTTCTCCTACCACCAATCTCTCGACAGGACATTCGGCTCACCGCATATTTAGAATGCCCACATGAACCACGAACACTATGCATTTACAAATATCCACGCCTTCTCCGAGATTCGAACCTGGGTCCTTTGGTACCGCAGTAGGCTTCTCTAACCGCTATACCATCTGGGCGGCTCGCACAAACATTATGCAGCACAGTAAGCGGAATGGGAACCACACTGCCGAAACTTTGCAGTACCTCAAATCATTATGCACTCTCTCTGCTCTGAACTCCGTGAGGAGAAAAGGTTTACTTTTACGTTTAAGCTGATATTATGCACTACCCCTTCTGAAAATATATATCTGAATTTTTAGCCAGTTCTAAGAATTTTGTTTAAAGATTTTATGTCTAAAAGATATGCCTTTTGAATGAAGTTTTTGTGAGGAGTACTGACAGCTGATCATTGATAAAAGTTGATTTTAAAAGTTGATGATTTTGTTAGTTACTCTTGTTCTACTAATTTGTAAACATTTCTTTCAGTAACTGTGTTTACTTCCTACTGAAATGGAATGCAGTGATAAATTTACACAGCTTTTATTTTCTCTGTCTACTAATGAATGAAACTGAATGAAACTTTTCTCCTTTGTTCGTGCAGCTTTGAAGAGAAGAGTCCATAGCAATGGATTTTTGAATTTGACAATTGCTTTCATACGATGTGCACTTTTAAGAACACCAAATAATGAGTTTCCTTTGTACTTCTATCGTATTTTTAAATTCCTACTATTAGCTCACACTCTCCCTTATCTTGTTCAAATTTTCAATCGTTAATAAAATACTATTATCGTTAATAAAATATTATTATTTATCCACTCAAGTTCAAATACATTTTTTAAACTTGCAGTGGATGACACTTGATGTTAATGCAGTTTTTTTTTAATTTAAAAAAAATTAAAAATTTTTAACATGTGAAATTTTAATATGTCACATGTTAATATGTTTAATATGTCACATATTAAAAATAAAATTTTTTAAATTTTTAATTAAAAATTATTTTTATCTGTATTTAAATTTTTTAAAAAATATTTAACAAATTTTTCTTTTTTGATTTAAGTAGGAAATAAATTAATTTTTTTTGTATTACCTGTTTATAAAAAAAAATTAAATAACAAATAATTTTTGACTCTAAAATTCGGTCACGGATTCTGAGGAGTACACACTTTCAGGCTTAAGAATCTCTAGTCTATAGAACTGTTCTCATTGATACCAACTACTCAATTAGACGCTGAAGAGCTCTGTATGGATAGTCATTGAAAATTTTCTCTTGCGAGCGGGTTACAATAGCCGGCCTTCTCCTTTTTAGAGTTGCAACGTATTTTAAAAATTAACTTTACTTTCTTATTCCCTTAATTCATTTGATTTAAACGTTTTCAGGCTGACATATTCAACACGCCTTGGCTTGGAAACGATGAAAGAAAATAAGAGGGTATAAAAGAAATAAAACCAGTGATCATTAGAGGAAAACGTGATTTCCTTCTCTGCGTCTGTGAAACTATGTTTTAAGGCATGACAGGCTGAGGAAACGTGTCATTTTAACGAAAGAATCTCGGAAATCTTGTTTAATTTTTATTGTATTAAAAATACACAGAAATTTAGAATTTAGTGTGTTGAAACTCGTTCGCCCTGATATAGAATTCACGAAGAATTTAGGCATAATAAATACACGTAAGGGTAGCCATCATTAGCGACTGAGGCTTAGAAAGTAAATTCCATTGCAATTTATTCTACTGATTCGAAATATAGTCTAAGTCTAACAGATTCACCATAGTCAAGAGGAAGAGATGCCT